CATGTCGTACTTATTAGTTAGGTATGTCGTATCAAATGTTACAATATCGTCGAACTCTTTATATACTTGTCTACTATTGTCTGCCCAAAAAATATTTTTCCATATCGTTTACTTCAAGCCGTCGTTTAACATGGGCACTCAATTCTTTTTTGCAACGATACAATCTGAAACTTCGAAGGACTTGTTTTATAATTGTGAATGAGATTGCCTGTGTTAATTCTCCAGATTCCACATGCATCTGCAGATGCAGTGATCCTGGCTTTGCAGACTGTCTGAATGGTAGTTTGTGGCTTCAAAGAACCGCCCATAGTATGACTCCTTCTACCTTCTCAGCTACATGTAAACACAACATATCTTACAATTCCATCATCATCCTTTTGTGAATTTCTTTTTCTAACTGGAAACCCTATATCGTACGCATATCTTTTGTAAAAATTATATATTTCCTTTTCCTCGTCGAACTTCATACCTACCTCGGGTACAATGACACCGTCTACTCTTACAATTCCAACATCCGCGTCGTTCACGCTGTCCAAAATGTTGTCATTTTCCCACTCTAATAGAACGACGTCATCTGCCTCCTCTCGTATTTCCTTGCCTGCAATAAATACATCAAATGTGAGGTTAATTTTCCCCCATTCAGTAAATTTCTACAATGATTTATCTGAAAGAGTTGTTAAATTTCTACAATGACTTTGTAATAGAACGACGTCATCCAACAGATAACTATTTCAGCAAAGATGTTAATTTTCAATGCGTTAACTCTTTCCGCTAATTCAACTATTTCAACATCACTCTAAAAATCAACATCTTTGCAACAGATAAGTCATTGTAGAAATCGTTAAACTAAATACGTTCTGTAAAGAGACATTTCAGAGCTTTTTGTTAAGAGAATGGATGGTAAATTGTAAAAATTAATTGTCATTTGGTCGCATCAACGAAGCCAGCTATAGATTCAAGCAGGAACAACTCTTTCTAACATTGCTGAATGTATGAAGACAGCGACTGCTTCGAGTCGGAACACCTCCTCCCTACACCTCTTTATCAGGCTCGTTAACCACATAAACGAATTTGGGGGAAAATGAAAGCAACGAGCCTTAAATCTGAAATACATGCTTCTGGGCTGTAGGTTCAATATTTGATGCCGATTTGCGGGTGTTTTCGAGAGCTTCCGTCTGGGTTTTCATCTCTGGTCTGGTAGCAATTGTGTATTTGGTCCAATTGCCCGCCTTTTCCTCCGTTCTTCTCTTATTGCTTGCCTTTTCCTCCGTCTTTTAATTGAAAATTGTCTTTCCTTTTTCACGGCTTTTTGTTTTTTAAAAAAAGTTGTCTTTCCACGTCATAGTGTAGTCCAACGCATAAGCACAAAGGTACCAATAGCAAAATTCAACATATTTTTAGCAGTCTTCTAAAACGTGCGCTTAGGTGCCACTTTAGTGTAGATTAATTTTGTTGTCTAATTACATTTTAAGCTGTTTTTACTCATAGCCAAATGGACTAATTGACCATATAAAGGATTACTAGAAGCTGGAGGATTTGTCTCATGGCTGTTCGAACCCGCCAATTGGGAGGCCGATGGGACATGTTAGGGCGTAAGCCAATGAAATAAAAGATTAGTAAAAGATGATTTGTTATAAGCATAAAATTCTTATTAAGTAAAAATGGATGTTTAACGATCACTCCTAAAGTTATGGTTTTAGGAAAAGACACTTCTATTATTAATACAATAAGATAGGTAATCGTTGCACTCTTTATTGCCCTATCTACCAATCACAAATCACTAATTTAACAACGTAACATTATAACAAGACGTGACCTAGGCAATTTTACCTGCACACCTTCTGTATATAAAGAGAATCACTTCCCCGTTTTTGAAGACAACAAGGTTTAAACCCGATTAGGATCATAAAAACTCGTTCTTGTCACCTAATCACATTTTGTGCTTTTGAAACACTTATTTTAGTGATTCTTAATATTGATGATAATATAAATGGGTAACAATTCTTTTCAATGTGATTTTGCCATTCAGGGCTAACAATTATCGAATAAAATTTCATCTTCTTTAATATTTTTCTTACATAGAAGTGAAATTTTTTTACCATAATGTAAAATTGGTTTCAAATTTTTTTTTCCATATGAATGGTAAATCA